TGTCGCAGCCGCCGCCAACATGCCACTCCAGAGGACCAAGGCTTTCGCCCGGAGACAACTGCCAACACCAATCACGAGGGAGATGGCGACACACTCAACATCGCCTCCAGAGAGGGGAACGACACCCGTGGGTGCCATCGACGCCGGCCGGCCAAAAACCGGACATGATTTTCATCCGTGACGTTGCGCATCTCCACTCCGACGAGGTGGCAGCACCGTTCCTGAAGCCTCGCACCGCCGTCACCGAAGCAAATCTGTCGAAGCCGCCAAGCCGAGGTCCCACACCACCCGCACTGCCGAGAGAGCATGAACCAGACCTCCACCAACATCGCCATCGAGGAGCAACCACAACCTCCAAGCAGAGCAAAAGCCAGATCCGCTCCAACGGCCTTCATCGACACCAAGAGACTGCCGCCAGATTGGATCTGGCCCGCCCCTCCAACCTCACTCCGGCGCCAACTCCACCGGGGCATCGCCGCGATCCCTCACATGGAGGCGGCCGGACGCCCGCTGCACGCCAGGACACCTTCCTGGCAGGGCCATCTCGGCGCCGCCGCCCCCATGGCTGATCCAACACCGCCGCCACCGCCGATGCTGGCACTCCACCTACAGCCACCAACCAGAAGCGCTCCTCGCCAGGATCTGGCGAAAGCCCTCGCCTTGCCCCCGTTGTGCCTCCAACCGAACAGCAAGCCCGAGCGCCGCCCGCGAGAAGAAGCGCAAGACCACGTCTGCGCCTTGCACACGCTCCGCCACGCCACACGCGCCAAGACCGAACACCGCCGGCCTCCGCGCCGCCCGCCGGACATAGCAACCCCGCGCGAAGGAGGTGCGTCGGGGCGCGCCGCCCCAGCCCGCACGCGCGCCGCGACCGACCAACTCGTCGCGCAGCCCTGCTCCAACTCCTGCCCACGCGCCCCCACTGGCCACGACGCGCCGGCCTCCGAGCACCGCCGCCAGACGAGGAAGGAAGCCCCCCGCGGCCCCTACTCCAGGCGAGCGCCCGCGCGGTGCCCGCCGGCGGCGGCGGCGGGGAGGGAAGAGAGAGGGGGGGTCGAGGGCCGGCGGCTAGGGTTTGAGCACCCGGGTCGCCCGCGGGGGAGCGACACGGGGCCGGGCCGAAAAGTGGGCTGTTATGTTCCTGTAACATTCTATCTCAACATCATTGTCTGGTTCTTTGTTATTTGGTTGAGTATCTTCATGAACCTCACCATTATCTTTTTCATTGTCAGAAGGTGAGTGTTCATTACCAGATTGAGTTTCAGCATCAGAGATAGAAACTTCATTATCATTATCAGGAGGTTTTTCTATTTCAGGTTCACTAGAGGCATGCAAAGTCCTGTCATTTTTCTTTTCTTTTTCTTTTTAGAAGGACTAGGTGCATCAATGTTAATTCTTTGAGAGTCTTGTTCAATTCTCTTTGGGTGTCCCTCAGGGTAAAGTGGTCCCTGAGTCATTTTACCTCCTCTAGTTGCTACTCTAACAGCAAAGTCACTTATATTGTTGTTCATTTCATCAAGTAACTCTCTTTGAGATTTAGCAACTTGTTCTAACTGAGTTTGAACCATAGAGGCATGCTTTCCTACACCTCTAACATCATTGGAAATTCTAAATAGCAAGTCACTTAAGCGAGCAATCATATCATAGTTGTATTTCAATTGTTTCATAGCATTTGCATTGAAGTGATCTTGCTCTCTAATGTAATTGTCAAACTCATAAGGGCATTGACTAGGGTGTTTATTATGAGTAGAAGGATTGATATAGTTGACTAGAGGGGGGGGGTGAATAGGCAACTAACAATTTTAGCTTTTCTTTACCAAATTAAACTTTGCATCAAAGTAGGTTGTCTAGATATGCAACTAGGTGAGCAACCTATATGATGCAACAACAACAAGCACGCAAGCAAGCAAGGGATACAACACAATATAAGCTTGCACAAGTAAAGGTGAGAGATAACCAAGAGTGGAGCCGGTGGAGACGAGGGTGTGTTACCAAGGTTCCTTCCTTTGAGAGGAAGTACGTCTCCGTTGGAGGGGTGTGGAGGCACAATGCTCCCCAAGAAGCCACTAGTTCTAGTAGGTGTTTCAAGATTTTCAGTTTCAAGCTCATCATCAGTTTCAACAATATTATGCTATCTTACTCTAGCAATTTGTTCATCAAGAAATTCACCTAATGGCACATTATCATCAAGCAAGGTACTAGCATCATCATGAGTAGCATTCATAGCAGAAGTAGCATCATCAATATCATGTTGTCTTACTCTCCCTGATTTTTTTCTGGAAATATATGATTTTATGGCATCTGTTTCAGGGTCTATGGGGCCACCAGGTGGGGACAACCCACCTGGGCACGCTTGGACGGGGTGGCGCACCCTGCTGGGTTGTGCCCACCCAAGTGCCCCCCCTCCCCCCTCCGGTGGTTCTTGGCTCCAGAAATTCTCTTTTATTGTATAAAAAATCCTCATAAAGTTCCGTTCCATTCCGAGAACTTTTATTTCTGCACAAAAACAACACCATGGTAGTTCTGCTGAAAACAACGTCAGTCCGGGTTAGTTTCATTCAAATTATGCAAATTAGAGTCCAAAACAAGAGGAAAAGCGTTAGGAAAAATAGATACGACAGAGACGTATCAGTGCGCCTAGCCCAACAAGGACAGGGCGCCTACCCTCAGCCCATGCTAGCCCTTGGGTCATGGTGGACCCACTTGTGGACTTCCGGACCCCTCTGAAACCTTCTAGAAGCTTCACGGTACAATACCGAAAAAACTGCACTTTTTTCGGAACCCAAAATATGACTTCCCATATATAAATCTTTACCTCTCGATCATTCCGAGACTCCTTGTGACGTCCATGATCTCATCCAGGACTCCAAACAACACTCGGTTACCAATCATCAAATATCCCAATACTACTCTAGCGTCAATGAATGTTAGGCGTGCGACCCTGCGGGTTCGGGAATCATGTAGTCATGACCCAGACACCTCTCCAGTCAATAACCAATAGAGGGACCTGGATGCCCATATTGATTCCTACATATTCCATGAAGATCTTTTATCGGTTGAACCACGATGTCAAGGATTCGTTTAATCCCGTATGCAATTCCCTTTGTCCGGCGATATGTTACTTGCCCGAGATTCGATCATCGGTATCTCCATACCTAGTTCAATCTCGTTACTGACAAGTCTCTTTACTCGTTATGTAATACAAGATCCCGTGACTAACTCATTAGTCACATTGCTTGCAAGCTCTTTAAGATGTTGTATTACCGAGAGGGCACAGACATATCTCTCCGTAATACAGAGTGACAAATCCCAGTCTTGATCCATGCCAACCCAACAGATACCTTCGAAGATACCTATAGAGCTTCTTTATGACCACCCAGTTACGAAGTGACGTTTGATAGCACACAAGGTATTCCTCCGGTATCCGGGTGTTGCATGATCTCATGTTCGAAGGAACAGATACTTGACATGAAGAAAGCTATAGCAAATAACTTAAACGATCTGATGCTAAGCTCGCGGTTGGGTCTACTCCATCACATCATTATCCTAATGATGTGATCCCGTTATCAAATGACAACTAATATATATGGTTAGGAAACCTTAACTATCTTTGATCAACGAGCTAGTCTAGTAGAGGCTTACTAGGGACATGGTATAGTTTATGTGTTCACACATGTATTTAAGTTTTCGGTCAATACAATTCTAGCATGAACAAACATTTATCACGAATGGGAAATATGATAATAATTATTTTATTATTGCCTCTAGGGCATATTTCCAACATGAGCAACTCGGATAGGGGGTGGCAGCGCCGAGGGCGTGCCTTCTGCAGCGCGATGTTGTTAGCTTTACGGGCATCTAAGGGCCCGGCCGGGCCTGGGATGCTCCTGTTGTCCCGTCCGGTCGGTTACCATCGTTGATGGTGAGGTTGGGCCCTCCCGCGTGCCGATGGTGCTGTTGCGCCTAGTCCCGGCTCCTCTTCTTCGTTGTGCAGGCCCCCTTTCGCGATGTCGTGGTGAGACAGCGTAGGAAGCATCAAGACCGTGTTGGCGCAGGGTGGTGGACAGTTTGGTGACGAGCTCCGAAGCGGCCGATGTGAAGGTTGGGATCGGGAGAAATCTGTGTCGGCCTAGCCGACACCGGCGCGATGGTGCCTGAGGGTGCTGCCGGACCTTCCTGGAGGGCGTCGGGGGCTACCCTTCCTCTCTCCTAGCTGCGTACCAGGGGAAACCCTTGGCAGCAGCGTCATCATCGCCGCGTCCCTTCTTGAGGTGTTGATTGGTACCGGCTCTTCGGAGTCTAGGAGCTTGGTGGAAGATCCCCGGTGGGCACAACGGTCGCGTGGCTTCTTCATTTTTGTTGATCCACCGTTGTGGGCATTTGTTTCTTCTGTATTTTCACTTTTGTTTCTTTTGGGCATGTCTGTGCTTCTTCCGCCCCATATCTATCGTTGGTTGTATCGGTGATGGTTGATTTGCAATACAAAGCGGGGGAAATCCTATTTCGACAACTCTTATTTATCTTTTAACTTCTCTATCCGTTTAAGAGATCGGCTAAGTGTGTTTGCCTCTCATATATCAATAATGCTAGACGCACGGACTTTATTTACAG